TTAGTTTTAAAGCAGAAATGGGTTCTTTCCTTAGGTAACACAGTTTTGCTTGGAGCATTCATTCAGATATGTGTGTGTCTATTTTATGTGAGGCATTAATCTCAGAATTCAAAGAGGTACAAGTATAGTTTGTTCCTGTCCCCATGGGGCTCGGTTTAACATGGGGGGAGTCTGACTGATTTTCCTTATATGTTTGCTGTTATGTAGAAGTGGAGGGGCTAGGGAGAAACAGGGAAGTTCTAAGCAGTTTGAGCCTCTGTGCTGTCTGGTGTCTGAAGACCCCATCGAGAAATAATTTATGAGCAGGAGTAACCAGAATTCCAGAAACTGCATGGTGAGGCCCAGCGTTCAGGGCAGGAAGAATCGTACAACAGGGGTCTGGCTTTGTGCTGGGATCTCATTGCGTGACGCTGTTTTTTGTTTTAATCTTTTGCAGATTTACTTCTATGCTTAACTTAGGACACGATTCAGAATTGTTTAAGGCAGTTCTTCACAACCCTCACCTGAAGCTTCTGAGCCTGTATGGCACTAGCCTTTCCCGTACTGACGTCAGGCACCTGTGTGAGACGCTGAAACATCCAATGTGCAAGATAGAAGAGCTGATGTAAGTCCGGGCTGTTCATGCTGAGCGGTGTTTCTTTCCAAGGTGGGCTTTGCGGCTTGAATATTCTTGTCCTTCCCGGAGGGTCATTACTTCAGTCTTCATCTATCTTGTTTTTCATCTTTTGAATCTCAGTCTCTCTTGTAAGGTGAAGGTAGATTCTGCCGGGCAAGGCGTCCTCTCAGGTTTGTTTCCGCCCTCCCATCTCTCGTACTCACTTTAATTACCTTTTTTTTTTTTTTGAGACAGGGTCTCACTGTGTTGCCCAGGCTAGAGTGCAATGACGCGATCTTGGCTCATTGCAATCTCAGCCTTTGGTGTTCAAGCGATCCTCCCACCTCAGCCTCCTGAGTAGCTAGGATTACAGGTGCACGCCACCACACCCAGCTGATTTTTGTAATTTTTTTGTAGAGATGGGGTTTCACCATATTGCCCAGGCTAGAGTGCAATGACGCGATCTTGGCTCATTGCAACCTCAGCCTCCCGGGTTCAAGCGATCCTCCCACCTCAGCCTCCTGAGTAGCTAGGATTACAGGTTCACGCCACCACACCCAGCTGATTTTTGTAATTTTTTGTAGAGATAGGGTTTCACCATATTGCCCAGGCTGATCTTGCACTCCTGGTCTCAAGCGATCTGCCCACCTTGACCTCCTAAAGTCCTGGGATTACAGTACTTCACACGAGCCACCACACCCAGCCTCAACTCATGGACACCTCCCTTGATACTTGCTGGTTCTGCCTTCAACCAACCAAGCCAAAACAAGAACATCATTTTCCCCCCTAAAGATATTTATAGAAACTTAAAACTGAAGTACATTAATGCACACAAATGTGATTGTCTGATTTGGCAGTTGACAGCGTTAAAGCCGGGAAAAATGACTTGCCCAAAGTCATTTCTTCCTCTTGAAAATTGTCAGGGTGGCCCCTGTCCTAATTGGGTGATTTCTAGGCCGAGCAAATCTATCTTTCTTTTTTATTAGTATTATACTTTGAAGTTCTAGGGTACATGTGTGCAACGTGCAGGTTTGTTACATAGGTATACATGTGCCACGTTGGTGTGCTGCACCCATCAACTCGTCATTTACATTAGGTATTTCTCCTAATGCCATCCCTCCCCCAGCACCCTCCCCCATGACAGGCCCCGGTGTGTGATGTTCCCCACCCTGTGTCCATGCGTTCTCTTTGTTCAGCTCCCACTTAGGAGTGAGAACATGCGGTGTTTGGTTTTCTCTTCTTGTTTTACTTTGCTGAAAATGATGGTTTCCAGTTTCATCCACGTCCCTGCAAAGAACATGAACTCATCCTTTTCTATGGCTGCATAGTATTCCATGGTGTATATGTGCCACATTTTCTTTATCCAGTCTATCGTCGATGGACATGTGGGTTGGTTCCAAGACTTTGCTATTGTGAACAGTGCCGTGGTAAACACACGTGTGCATGTGTCTTTATAGTAGAATGATCACTGGGCAATCTGTCTTTCCAAAGAGAACAAAGGGAAGTCACTGAGGCAGCAATCAATAAAATCAGCCCAGGCCGGGTGCGGTGGCTCACGCCTGTAATCCCAGCACTTTGGGATGCCAAGGTGGGTGGATCACAAGGTCAGGAGATCAAGACCATCCTGGCTAACACAATGAAACCCTGTCTCTACTAAAAATACACACACATACAAAAAGGTGGGCATGGTGGCAGGTGCTTGTAGTCCTACCTACTTGGGAGGCTGAGGCAGGAGAATGGCAGGAACCTGGGAGGCGGAGCTTGCAGTGAGCCGAGATCACGCCACTACACTCCAGCCAGGGGGACAGAGCCAGACTCTGTCTCAAAAAAAAAAAAAAAAAAATTTATGAACGCATTCTACTTGTCCTGTTTTCTTACCAACACTTGAGGGTGTTGATCTTTTCAAACCCATTCTGCTTAGGGCGTAATATCTGAGTGGGTTTAATTTGCATTTGTCTAATGACTAATAATATGAGCGCCTTTTCATTTGTTTGACTTTCTGGGCTTCCTGTTGTGATATGTCTGACATGCTGGTGTAGCCCATCGTTTTATTGGGTTGTCTTTTTCTAATTGATTGACAGGTGTTTTTTCTCTACTGTGGAATGAATTCTAGGTCAAATATATGCATTGCCAATATCTTCTATGTGGTTTGGTTTTCCACATGCTTAATATCCTCTTTGAATTAAGAGAGATTCTTTATGAACACTGAATGAATCTTTTCATGTTCAACTGCTTTTTGTGTTTGTTTAGGGAATTGTTGCCAGGCTTGGTGGCTCATGCCTGTGATCCCAGCACTTTGGGAGGCTGAGGCAGGAGGATCGCTTGAGGCCAGGAGTTGGAGACCAGCCTGGACAACATAGTGAGACCCCCGTCTCTAAAAACAAAACAAAACAAAATTATCTAGGTATGGTGGTGGAAGCCTGTAGTCCCAGCTACTCAGCAGGCTGACGCAGGAGGAGCTCTTGAGCCGAAAGGTCCACAGTTGCTGCAGTGAGCTGTCATCACGTCACTGCACTCCAACCTGAGTCACTGCACTCCAAGCCCAAAGTCCTAAGAATAACTTCCTGTGCATTTCTCTCTAAAAGTCTTATTTTACCACGCACAACTGGGGCTATGATCTACTTTGAATGAATGTTTCTGTGTAGTATAAAGTCAGGTTTTTTTTTAAATTTTCACATACGAACACAGAGTGCTGTCGGAAGATGACTTTTTCTCAAGTGAACAGCAGTAGTTATCGTTATAAACCAGATGACCACGGTGTATTCGAGACCAAAAATATCTGTCTTGATTTTATTTTTGTAGATTTTTTTCACCCATCCATCAGAGAATTGTAGGTTTTCACTGTTTTCTTTCTTTTGTTCTTTTACATGTTAAAGATGTAATTCCATCCCGTTCAGGCTTCCATGCTTTTCTCAATTTAGCTATCAGTGTATTTCGTCCTGTTGTAGGCAGTGTGCTCCACGTGTCTTATCTCCGGCTAATTTTAAGGGGTTTTTTTTTCCTTCCCTCCTTGGGCGTGGTTTTGGTCTTTCTTTGTGTTTATTGTGCTTAAAAATTCACGGAGCTTCCTCCATTTGTGGATGAATGTTTGCACAGGCTTCTGAGAACGCTTTACCATGATCTCGATCTTTAAATACTGCTTCTGCTCCATCTTCTCATTTCCTCTTGGTCTCAGAGGAGAGATCCCCATCATACTTTCAGTCAAGAGGCTTGAAGAATGAGGAGCTTTCTGTGTGGTACAGAAGATAATCTGATACAGGCATGCAATAAGTAAGAAAAAAGAAAAGATTGAGGAGCTTTTTAAAAAATTATCACAATGGGGAGCAAAGAATCCATGCATAAAAACTTGCAGATGCATTTCCCTCTGAGTCGGATGGAGAAGAGAGATATGAAGGCGGCCAGGGGCCGGGCGTGGCTCATGCCTGTAATTCTACCGCTCTGGGAGGTCAAGGCGGGCAGATCACTTGAGCTCAGGAGTTCGAGACCACCCTGGCCAACATGGTGAAACCCCATCTCTACTAAAAATACAAAAATTAGCCGGATGTGGTGGCGGGCACCTGTAATCCCAGCTAGCTGGGAGGCTGAGGTGGGATCTCAGTTCACTGTAGCCTCTACCTCCTGGGCTCAAGCAATCATTTATTAACTGTAATTGTTTTCCTGAGGTCTGTGATCCACTTTAGCAAATCTAACTCTAGGAAGAGTTTAACTTTAGCAAATCTAACTTTAGCAAGTCTAATTCAAGGAAGGGGTCATGGGAACCCCCATGTATAGCCGGTCGGTCAAACACAGACAGAGCAACCCAGTACCTGCAACTGGCATCTGAAGTCAAGGGAGGTCTCGTGGGACTGAGCTCCTACCGTATGGGATCTGACTCTCAATTTAATAAATGATCTGAAAGATACAGATGTGCAGCCAGATGGAGAGAGACACAGGATGAGATCTGGAAGGGTCCCGAGTGTGAAGGGGGCCTGCCCCTGCACACCTGTGGGTATTTCTTATTGGGCTGGAGATGACAGACTAAAGAAACAAGACACAGAGACAAAGTATAGAGAAAGAACAGTGGGCCCAGGGGACCGGCACTCAATGTGCGTGCGAGGACCTGCACTGGCGCTGGTCTCTGAGTTCCCTCAGTATTTATTGATCATTATTTTTTCTATCTCGGTGAGGGGAGAGTAGCAGGGCAACAGGCGGGGAGAAGCTCTGCGGGGAAACGTGTGAACAAAGGAATCTGTGTCATGAATAAGTTCAAGGAAAGGCACTGTGCCCGGATGTGCACGTAGGCTAGATTTATGTTTCTGTTTACACAAACATCTCAGTGTAGCAAAGAGTAACAGAGCAGTATTGCTGCCAGCATATCTCACCTCCGGCCACAGGGCAATTTTCTCCTATCTCAGAATAGAAGGAATGGTCGGCTTTACACCAAGACATTCCATTCCCAGGGCCGAGCTGGAGACCGAAGCCTTCCTCTTATCTCGACTTCAAAGAGGCCTCCCTCTTTCACTACTCAGCACAGACCCTTTATGGGTGTCAGGCTGGAATCAGGTCTTTCCTTTCCCACGAGGCCATATCTCAGGCTGTCTCAGTGCAGGGAAACCTTGGACAATACCCAGGCTTTCTTGGGCAGAGGTCCCTGTGGCTTTCCGAGTGCATTGTGTCCCTGGTTAATCGAGAATGGAGAATGGCGGTGACTTTTACCAGGCATCCTGCCTGCAAACATATTGTTAACCAGGCACATCCTGCACAGCCCTAAATCCATTAAACCTTGATTCATTACAGCACATGTTTCTGTGAGCACAGGGTTGGGGCTAAAGTCACAGGTTAACGGCATCTCAAAACAGAACCATTTTTCTTAGTACAGATCAAAATGGAGTTTCTTAAGTCTTCCTTTTCTTTTTTTTTTTTTTTTTTTTTGAGATGGAGTCTTGCTCTGTCACCCAGGCTGGAGTGCAGTGGCCGGATCTCAGCTCACTGCAAGCTCCGCCTCCCGGGTTCACGCCATTCTCCTGCCTCAGCCTCCCAAGTAGCTGGGACTACATGCGCCCGCCACCTCGCCCGGCTAGTTTTTTGTATTTTTAGTAGAGACGGGGTTTCACCGTGTTAGCCAGGATGGTCTCGATCTCCTGACCTCGTGATCCACCCGCCTTGGCCTCCCAAAGTGCTGGGATTACAGGCTTGAGCCACCGCGCCCGGCCAAGTCTTCCTTTTCTACGTAGACACAGTAACAATTTGATCTCTCTCTTTCTTTTCCCCACACGAGGACAGGAGCGTCTGTCCCTGTGGAGCTGGGGTGTGGCGTGTGGACGTGTTTGCCAACCTGAGCGCTCTCTGAACTATATCCTTTTAGGATTTTTATGGAGGCTTCATCACACAGGCATAATCGATGATCAGCTCTGTGTCTAACCCCTCTGGGGAGTGTCCGGTTTGGGTTAAGTTTTAGGACGCCCACTTAGTGGCTGCGGAAGAGCTGCCCGATATTGGGGGGTGAGCTGCCGTCCCACCTCTGGTCACAGAAGCGTGTTGCACTGAGTGTGTGAAAGTAGGAAAAAAACAGTTTGGTTTTTCCTATTTCTTGAAGTGCTCTTGACAGAGAGTCAGATTTATTGAGTTCTGGATACTCCTTTGCTGCAGGGTCTGTCCTGTTCACTGAAGGATGTTCAACAGCATCCCTGGCGGCCTCCATTGTGACAGCCAATAATATACCCAGACATTTCCACGTGTCTCCCTCAGGGCAGATCACCCCAGGCGGTGAGAAGCGTGGGCTTAGACGTTTTTTCCTAACTTCAATGCAAAGCCACGGGATGAATGAGGGAGTCATGTCATTCACATTTGCACTTTTTAAAAGTTTGTAATGTGGCCGGGCGTGGTGGCTCATCCCTGTAATCCCAGGACTTTGGGAGGCCGAGGTAGGCAGATCTCTTGAGGTCAGGAGTTTGAGAACAGCCTGGCCAACATGGTGAAACCCCATCTCTACTAAAAATACAAATGAGCCGGGCGTGATGGCAGGCTCCTGTAATCCCAGCTACTTGGGAGGCTGAGGCAGGAGAATCATTTGAATCCGGGAGGTGGAGGTTGCAGTGAGCCGAGATCGTACCACCGCACTCCTGTCTGGGTAACAGTGAGATTCCTTCTCTTTTTTTTTTTTTTTTTTTTTT